GAGAGACAAGATTTTCCTAAAACGGATAAATACGCCAATTAATGAACACTAGCCAATCAGTCTTGTGCCAATTATCTTGTGTTATAAAATACGATTTAATGAAATGAGACTGAAGAAAAAATTTTTAAAGCGGAAGTGTAATATATATTTTCAGTAATAAGAAAAATGTGCGGGACTTGAAAAAAAAGCAAATTATCTGCTAATAAAATTTATATATTGCAGTCAAGCATTGAATATGTGGAAATTATTTTAAAAGCTTTTTGGAATTTTTTTTTTGCCAGAACAAAAATTAAATTCATCTCTTTTTGCTTATATATAGGTTTTAAAAGCCTCGAGTGTGAAGAACCGTTTTTCTTGCAGTTATATTTGGTATCTTAAATTCTCGTATTGTTTTTTTTTCTTCTTTTGTTTTTATTTTCTTAGCAAATCTTCGCGATAGTTTGTCTGTAAAGCAAAGCGAATATTAAAAGGCCTTCCACTTTACCGTGTAAATTACATACTCCTCTTTCGTGGCCCGAAGCAAAAAAATCTATACACGTGCAGTATTTCGATGTATCCTCCGCTGTTTGTTGAAGGGATAATTGTAGAATAGACGAATGTGAGAGAAAATGCCCGCGGAATTAATTTTCTCGCATTTTTAGATTATTTTTTTGGTTTGAAAAATTTACAAACTAGAGAGAAGAAAAGAAAATACTCAGAAAAAACAAATTTTTAATCCGTTTACATCTTAAAGGTATAAAATAATTGAAAAGCCTATTTTTAAATTTTAGACTTTCAATTAAGTCATAACTTTAGGAATTAAAATTGAATTTGAAAAAAATTCAATTAAACTTTTTCAAAAAAAATTAATTCTTAGCAATTGAATTGAAATATTTTCAATTCAATTTTAAAATATTAATAAAATTTCTCGAAAGAATTCAATTATTTTTAACAAATTTAAATAAAATTCTATTTAAGAATTCAATTATTTTTAAAAAAATTTGAATAAAATTCTATATAAGAATTTAATTATTCTCAATATTCAATTATTATTTAAAATTTTAACTAAAATTTATTTTTAAATCAATTTTTATTAAAAAATTCTAAGAGAATTCAACAAATTTTTAAATAATTGAATTCTTTCGATGAATTTTAATAAAAATATTAAGAATAATGATATTTTTTTAGGAATTCGATTAAAATTATATATTAAAAATAATTAAAATTTTATTATTTATGAGAATAATTGAATTCACAAAAAAGAATTGTATTATTTACAAAAATAATTAAATGTTTACGTACAATTTATTGATTGTTTTTTAAATAATTTTATTAAAAATTTTAAATTTATTTAATAATTAAATTGTATTAAAATAGTAAATATTGTAAATCATTGAATTGAGGAAAATTTTGGAAAATAATTGAAATTTTACAAAGAATGTTATTAACCTTTTTAAAAATAATTTAATTCCTAAGAAGAATTTTTTTACTTATAAAGATAATCGAATTTTTGACATGATCTTTAAAATTTTTTTTAAATAATTGAATTTTTGGGAAGAATTTTATTAATTTTAAAAATAATTGAATTTCTCTGAAGAATTTTATTATTTTTATTACATTAAACTATGGAATTATTGAGAACAAAATTAATAGAAAATTTGTAAATAATTGAATTCCAGTGAAATTATTATTATTATTTATGAAAATAATTAAATATTTGCGTAGTTTCATCGAAAATTTTTTTAAATAATTAAATTCTTTCGGAAATTTTTATTAAAATAGTAAATATTAAAAATCATTAAATTGAGGAAAATTTCTGAAAATAATTGACATTTTAACAAGAATTTTATTCTAATTTTGTAAAATAATTGAATGTTAGAGAAGAATTTTATTACTTTTGTAAATAATTGAATTTTTGCAATCATTTATAACTTTTTAAAAATTCAATTTTTCTTAATGTTTTTTTTAAGTAAAATTTTTCTATAAATCCATTATTTTCAATAATACAATTAATTGCATATATATTAAAAAATTTCACTAATTTTAGAAGAATTCGAATTATTAGATTTTTTCAAAAATCTAAGTTCTTTAAAATTTATAATCGAATTCATTCAAAATTAAAATTTCACAAAATTTCAAATTGAAACCGTTTGAAGTTCATTTACTTATGAAAATTGTAAACGCTACTTTTTTTGAAATTGAATTTATTTTGAAATATTTAAGTGAAAAAATTAATTAATTAATTTATAAGTAATAATTTGAACATTTAATAATTTTTGAAATTTCTTCAAGAATTAAGTTATTTAAAAGAAATTATTGTCAGAAATGGAAAAAATTGAAGATTCTGTTTTAGAATTCGTGATAATTTTATAGATTACATGACAAACGAAAAAGATACTAAATTCACCATTTTCCTATCAAAAATAAATTTAAAAAAATAAATAATTCTCAAAATTTAATTTTTTCCAGTACTTTTAATAAAAATCCCTGACTTTTCCCCGAATTTCCTGACCAATTCTACTTTTTTACAGAATTTTCCTTAAGAAAATTTTCTATAGAGAGAATTTTCCTGTAGAAAATATTCTTCACAGAAAAATTTATCTACAGAAAGTTTTCATCATAGAAAATTTCTCAGTATAAAAAATCATGAATTAGTTAATTTTTCTTCTTTTCTTTCACTCGGAGATTATTAATTCTCATCATATATAGCTAATGATTAAACATCGCGGTAAACTCAAAAAGCTTGCGTAATTAATTGTAAAATGATAATTAATATAAGCTAAAGAGACTTGATGTGGCTTTGGAAAATTAATTTTTCCACGGTGTAAACTCGAGCACTCTACTCGGAAAATCGCAATCAAAAAAGAGGATGGGCGCTTCAAGTTTGCTTCAGAGCTAGTCCGATGTGCAAGCAATCCTCGGAAAAGGAAACTGAAACTGACAGTGGTCCACTGAAGGTGGAGGAGGCTGCATAAGCTGCGTGCAAACAGCTTTCATTCAATGTCTCCTCTATCGTTGCTCTTTACAGGATCAAAACTTTTCACCACAGATTTTTCTTCTCACAAAAGGAAAAATTCCATGAAATTTTCAAATTTTTTTAAATAAGTTTTTTTAAATATATTTTTATTCTTTTAAATCTATTTTAATTTTTGTAAATATTTTTATTCTTTTAAATATATTTTTAATTCTTTTAGACATTTGTTAAAAGTTTTAAGTAGACTTCAAAATTAATTTTTGAGGAGAATGAAAAAATCGGGAAGCAACGCGAATTATTTTGAAGAACATATTCGAGAAACGTGGCGAATCGCTTTGGAAAAGTACAAGTGACTCAATTTAATTAAACGGAAGAAGAAAGTCAGTTTGTAAAGAAGCAGTACAAAAATACTTCTCGCTTGAAGTCATCACTAATGTGACGCGGGGATTCTCCCTTCTTAGTCAAACCTTGTCTCAAGTCTCGAAAGCGCGTATGCTCTCATTCTATTCCCGGATCTGGACTGCGGACATGATTAATTTAAATTGCACACATGCCCCAAAGCGTCTCTCTCTCACCGACGGAAAAAACCGATTTCAATCCTACTTTAAACAAACGAAAGAAAAAAAAATTCCAATCGCTTCATTCTCAAAAATTGAAAACTATGTCTATTGTTCCTTTTATTTTATTCCTAACATTGTTTATCTATTGCTACCATAGTTTTAAATTTATTCCGAAAATATTTTATTACTATAATGTTATTACTGTACTATTATGGCTTGTCATTATTCGCTATTACCAACGCCGTTTTTTTCTTGAGTAGAAAAATAAATTTACTATTTACTCACGAGCGGAGAAAAAGGGTTGAGATTGAGCACAGTGTAGCAATAACTTAAGTAGGCAATTGATTATCATTGGCACACAAAACCAATCCCAACTATAACGACCCGTCTGATTATGATAGGGACGTTGCACTTTCTTGTCATTATACTTTGTGGCGGGTGTTAAATCGTTAAGGCTAATTTACTTTCGCATTGTTGGTTTACAATGAGCCAGCATGACAACAATCGGTAATAAGATAACGAGACTGTCATTTATATTCTTAATAGTGACAGAAAATTTTTCACCGCAGCATTATCCGAGTCTTGGTACTTGTGCTTATCCCTTGTTGTCATTTTTGAATTTTTAAACCGAATTTTTGAACATTTAGTTTGGATTTTTAAACATTTAGGTTGAAGCTTTAAATTCCTATCCAGTGAACTGTTCCCTAACTGTTCCAAAACTGTTCCATAACTGTTACAGATTTGTGTCATCCTAAACTTGTAACACCCTCTGTTACACTAATCAGTGAACTGTTCCCTAACTGTTGCATGACTGTTACAGATTTGTTTCATATTTGTGTCATCCTAAACTTGTAACATCCTCTGTTACAGTAAACATTAAATTGTTCCATAACTGTTGCATAACTGTTACAGATTTGTGTCATCATAAACTTGTAACATCCTATGTTGCAGTAATTAGTGAACTGTTCCCCAACTGTTTCCTAACTGTTGCATAACTGTTACAGATTTGTTCCATATTTGTACCATCCTAAACTTGTAATATCCTCTGTTACGGTAATCAGTGAACTGTTCCCTAACTGTTGCATAACTGTTACAGATTTGTGACATCATAAACTTGTAACATCCTCTGTTGCAGTAATCAGTCAACTGTTCTCCTACTGTTCCCCAACTGTTGCATAACTGTTACAGATTTGTTCCATATTTGTACCATCCTAAACTTGTAATATCCTCTGTTACGGTAATCAGTGAACTGTTCCCTAACTGTTGCATAACTGTTACAGATTTGTGACATCATAAACTTGTAACATCCTCTGTTGCAGTAATCAGTCAACTGTTCTCCTACTGTTCCCCAACTGTTGCATAACTGTTACAGATTTGTTCCATATTTGTACCATCCTAAACTTGTAACATCCTCTGTTACAGTAATCAGTGAACTGTTCCCTAACTGTTGCATAACTGTTACAGATTTGTTCCATATTTGTGTCATCCTAAACTTCTAACAGAGGATGTTCCAAAGAAACATCCTCTGTTCCAAGTTTAGGATGACAGATAAGAACCAAATCTGTAACAGTTATGGAACAGTTTTTTTGATGTTCACCCTGTAGTTGAAATTCTTTAATTTCTGGTTTGATTTTTTTCAAAACAGAGCAGCAAAGATTTAAATCGAAATGAAACGGTTCAAAGACTCACCTCGCTCTTTAAGTTGAGAGGCAGATCGCAGGGGTTGTCCATGTCCATTTCCGTTTTCACCTGATGCGAGAGCATGCTGTGACTGTGCCTTGGCGGTACTGCAGTGGCCAACATGTTGGAATGCTGTCGATGCTGAAGATGCGACTGAAGACAAGGTTGATGCTGATAAGGTGGTGAGAGCTGAGTGTTCAGAATTCGGAGGTCAGCTGGGGGTGAAGCTGGTGCAGCGGTACTGCTCTGTTCCTCCTCTGCCGAGCCCTCCGCCATGTCAGCCTCGCATCCCGATGATTCACAATCTGCAATCAAAAAAAACACTTTTGATAAGAAAAACCAATCACGAAAAAAGAATCTAAGAGAACAAATAAGATTTCTTACTCAAGAAGATTTCTTCCTTAAAATTTTGTTAAAAATCCCATAAACCGTTGTACCCCAATACGGAATATTCAATACTAAATTCGGAATACTTAATCCTAAAAAGGACAACCGATTCTAAAGGATAAATAATAATGTATAAAGATTAAATAATAATCTTCTATAATTAATCTGATAATCTTCTAATAATCTTCTAATTAGAAGAAGCTCCTAACGGATACGTATTAATCGAGCGCAACTAAAAATCAACTCCACATATCATGACTAATTGAAGGAAAGAAATCCACCAAAAATCTGGTATATATCTTTCTTCTTAAAGAATGCAGACAAACAAAATAAAGTTAATTTTTTGAAAAAAAACTTCAAAGCTCCTCGCTAGACACACCTCTCTCGCGGTTGTAATAAGCGTTGGGGTGAATGAGTGCGTGCAGACGAAATTGCTCGCAGAAACACACAGTCTGTACTTACAAGCATTCGCGAAACTTATCCGTTTAATTATTTTTATCTAAGCGCTCTGTTAGTGAGAATTATTCAAGGGCAATGAAATCACGTTGCGGTTCATGTCTGCTCATCTGCTTCATTCTCTCTCTCTCTCTCTCTCTCTCTCTCTCTCTCTCTCTCTCTCTTTTTCTCTCCCTCATGTAGTAAAAGATTTCGAAGTTCCTTGTGCTTTCCCTCTTAAACCATCGTCTTGGAAACGCCACTAACAACATCTGCTTCTATTTTTGCGTTGGCCCAAGTCCAATGCTTTTACTTTTTAAAACACGCATCTATGACGAACGTCTGGATGAATCCTCCTTTTACGCGAGAAAAAAAGAGTCATTTTTTAGTTTGCAAAATTTCAATCAATTTTCTCTCTTTTAATATACAGAGATGCTGCGAGGCTATTTAGAGCTGCTGAATTAAATTTGAAACCAAAAAAATTAAAAAACTTTTTTTGTAACCAATTTTTTGAAATCATTTTGTGAAATCGAAACATTTTATAAATTCTAAATATTAAGTTTAGTATTAGTGAATAGATTTTTAAGTAATTGCTGATCGACGCTGATTCTAATCGTACCGAACAAAAATTTCTGTTTCAATAGAAAGATTCAATCACTTTAGCGGTACATTGGTAAAAGATAAATTAGCGAGAATGTAAATTAACAGATTTTTATCAATGGGAACTGATAGTGATGTACATTTACTCTAAAAATCTTGATAAGATCTCAATTCTTTATTTGATTTCAATAATGATAGCAACGACTATTCAAAAAATAGTTTTCTTTAATTATCCAGAAAAAAAAATTTAGAAAAAACAGTATCGAAAGTTTGTAATAGTTGCAAATAGTCGCATATTATTTCTTTACAAATAAATATAAACATTATTTATTCTCCTCTTTTTTAATTCTAAAATTGTTTTTGAGAAAAAAATGTTTTAATTTCTTCACTTGAGAACGCCAAGGTCGCCACCAGGTGGCAGGAGAAATTCCAAGAAAGAACTAAACTGCCATCTAGCGATGACCTTGGCGTTCGTAGGTGGACAATAATTATTAATGAACAAAAATACTTTTTCACAAAAGAAGCAATTTTTTTCAATAAAAAAATTTGCAAGACAACAATAAAAAATAGATCACTGTTTTTTACTTTACATTTTTGACTTCAGTAAAATTTTTTACCCTCCCCCCTTTCCCTTCGCTGCTCTCTAAAAAACAATTCACTAAAAAGAAATATCTTTCAAAGAGCCAAAAAATATCGACTAGAAATATTTTTTCTCCTACGGCGATTTCGATGAACCATCATAGGATACGCATTTTAATTGCTGAAATACTGCAGAACGAAAATTACTAGGTCTTTATAACCACCGGCTGTCGTTTTTATCATCGCACACACTCGGATTCGTAAGGGTTTTTCGTTTTTCTTTTTTTTTTTTTTATAAAAAGAAAAAAACAAAAAACTAATAAATGGGTTTCGAAAAAATTCTGCCAACTGAAATAGGATGACTTAATGAGGGCTTATAGTGATTATCAGTAAGAAATCTGTGTGGATCAAATAAATAATGCTAATTTATAGAAAGAAACCTGTTATTATACATCAAGTCGAAGAATTTGCACCTTTTACGCCCGTCACTATTCCCCCAACAATATGACGTAAACATGATAAAAATATTTCCCCTTTTTATTTTTTTGATAACAATAAATTAAATCAAGCGAAAAAAAAGAATGAATTTCAAAATATTTTAATTGAATTTTTTTTAACTCATCAATTTTTTTTATTAAGTAAACACGTTAAAATTTTTTTCTTTTAATAACAATAAAAAATTACAAATTTAATCAAATAGAAAAAAATACGAATTTAAAAACATTTTAATTGAATTTTTTTTCCACATTCGATATTAATTATTTTCACAGGGACTAAAAATAATTAACAGTATATATATAGAGTGAAATAACCTTTTAAATTACATGAATTAAAAAATTCAATTCTTTTAATTTTAATTTTATAATTTTAACGATCTATAATTTAACGATGCTAATTAGATATAACACTAATTAATTTTAATTACTAATCGATTAATACATTTAATACTATTAATAGACATGAATAATAATTATACCGTTATTCAATAAAATTTATAATAAAAATACTCTATAATATTACAAAAAAATTAAAAATTTGAACCGCTTAAATCAATTATTTCCGAACTAATTCTCAATTGATTGGTTATTAATTTTTCAAAAAAACTTCTCACCTTTTTACAATTCAGTGAATTTTCTAACTCTATCGAATTTTAAAAGGTATATAATAATGTAATAAAATAAGAATTATCTGAGACATTATTTAAAAAAAAGGTTTGTAAATTATTCAAAATATAAAATTCATTGGAAAGAGTGAAATATTTCACACTTATGACAGAAGGAGAGTAATGAATTCAAGCGCGCATAACTTTAAATTATGAATTAGAGAATAATTTCAAAATGTTTGAAAAAAAAATTTCTGATTTATTGATAGAATTCCTTCTCCAAGGGAAATCTAATTCAATATTTGAATATTCGTCTAGAAAAAAGGGATTTTATATTAATTATGAAATATGATTTTATATTATTCTTTGCTAATATTCTTTCAATTAATCCTTGAAACAAAAGTATTTAATTTAGAGTATTTTTACTCTTTGGAGGTTAATAATAAAACAAATCAATTTTTTTGAGGTTTCGATTTAAAAAAATTGAATTCCAGAGAGGTGGAAAATTAAATTTATTAATTAATGTATTTATACTTACATAATTAATAAATTTATTAACTTTTTAGAAATGGAAAAATGGGTAAAAATAGCAAAAACTATGGGAAACTATGAGTAAAAGATGGTGAAATATGACACTTAATTTGCCAAAGAATGTCGAAGAATTCCTAATTAGAGAATTCCATGGCTAAAGAATATCGACAACAAAAATTAAGAAAAAAATATTTTTTTTATAGTTTTGAAGTTTACCGCCAAAATTTTAAACTGTGGGTAAAGTATGGGAATAAAACAATATTTTTTTGGTATCCGGACAAGAAGTCCAAAACAAAAAATCCCAACTGAAAAATCCACAGAAAATGAAATACAAAAAAGTAAAAAAAAAAATTGTTTCACTTTGGACTTATTTTTTGGATCTTTTGTTCTGGTCAAAAAGTCCAAAGAAATTAAAAATCCAATGAAAAAATTGAGATATAGAAATTTAAATGGTTGCCTTGAATATTTTCTCTAAATTGTAGCCAAAATTTAAATTTTTCGATAGATTTAAAATTCTTTTTCTCATTGGAAATTGGTTGTTTATATACATTTTTTTATTTAACCAAAAAAATAATAAATTAAAGGAAGGGAATTTATAATTTCTTATAAAGAATAATACAAGTTTTTAGTTATTCATGTTTGAATAGTTCTATAAAATTTTTGGTGCTTCTGATTGTTTTAAATCTGATAGATTTTTATAAAATGTTCCGCCATCTTAAATCCGCCATTTTGGATTTTTAAAAACCGACTATGGATTCTTAATCAGTGAGCCTAGAAATTCTCAAGTAACAAAATTTAAGTAAATTTTAAAAAAATGTCAGCCATTCTGAATTTTTAAAAACTGTCATCGAATTCGTGATCAGCGTCCCCAGAAGACTTCGAGTTACAAGTTTCATGTAATTTTAAATTTAATTTGAATTTCGGACATAATTTTAGCAAAATCCCCCATAGTGCATCGTTACGAATTGCAATATAGAAAAGAAAATATTAAAAACTTGAAAATTTTACCCGCGCAAAAAAAGCCACTATAGCAAAACAGCATCTTTTCCATTCAACAACAGTTTAACAATGTTCGTGGGCAATTTGACTTTTTTTTTAAGAGGATGATGGTCTTTTCGGACCCCGGGAGGTATAGTGGCATCAGCATTGGCATCAACGGGAGCAGCGTGTAATTAAGGGGGTTGATTGATGTTAATTCAAAGGGTAATTAAGAATGTTGCGCATAAAAATCTGGTAATTTATGGTCATTGGGGATAATTATATGTTGACCAGCTTGTAATTGCAAGCGCTTCGTTGTAGCGTCCTAACGTTGGCTTGCCATGTACGATGTATTTCACAAATACCCATATGATGTGTGTGTGTTTGTCTCGAGAATCGCCCTTGTACAAGAGAGATTTCTGGGCATAAATGCGCTCACACATTAATGAACATACACACACACACACACGTTTTCTCCGCATGAATATACGGTCTCAGATCGCAGCTTATTATAGGGGCTAGTAGATAAGGTGGGTTTAGAAACAGCCATGCCTCTGGGCCAAAGCGAGAGTTTCTCCGAGCGGCTTGCAGGACGCTCGAGGCGCCATAACACATATATACAACAACTAAGGTAGCACCGATTTATGGGCTCGATACCTCGCAGCCTGAGAGTGAAGTCGAATAACGCTTTTA